ATATTTGTATTGGAGAACTGGATCATGATTGCACCGATCACTTCTCCCAATTGAAAATGGAGTGCAATGTGCTTTGTTGTATGCTTTAAGGTAGCTCTCAACTTCAGCAAAGGAGCTGAAGAGTTGGTTCTCCTTAAATGTTAATTCGTTCTCCTGAAAAATAAACACAACGCAGTAAGCGGGTAGAATAGGGTATTTCAGAGCTGGAGGTGAAGAAATAAGATGGGAGAACAAAACGCGCACTGCTCATGCGCAGACGCGGAGTGGGGGAAGCAGGGGGTGGAGTGGGGGGCGTCTGCTCATGCGCAGTGCGCGTTTTGTTCTTCCATTTTACTTCTTCACCTCCAGCTCTGAAATACCCTATATACGCCCACACTTATCAGATTAACAGCATAGACATCTCAAAGGAGCAAATATGATTTATTTTCATGAGTAATGAGTGGCATATTTCTCTGTGCATAAGGTTATGTGGCATCAACAGAGACTTCAAAATAAGTTACAAGATACAAAAAAGAAGCATAAGACAACACCTGTACGTTGGAGATCTGGACACGCTACTTTAAAGCTTACCTTCATAATTATTATAGTCCAGTGATGATCAAAAAGTTTCGTGTCTGTCTGTGTGTCTGTAATCACGATAACTCGAGAGGGAGCTGAGCTAGGTACCTGAAATTTTTAGTGTATCTTTGTCGCTTAAAAAGCAGGAACTGTATTGATTTTGAGCTTTCTACCTTAAAAATTGACCAGCCAAAAAAATCAAAACCAAAACACCTAAAATATTACTTTAAAAAAATATTTCTTACTATCTTTTAAAGAAGTAACTTGTCAAAGTAGAACCCGTAGTCCCAAAATTTTGTCCGTTTGGCTCCATTTCAAGCCGTTTAGTCGCTAGAGGGCGATTTCCACTTGAAAATGACCCCTTTTTAGATTACGACACTTGAAACCTACAAGCACGGAGTTCGTGGAGTCTCCGTATAAACCGGTAGTTCCAGGGAGCTCCGTATAGACACGCAGTTCAGCTGGCCCCCGTATAACGTCGTAAGTGCTTGAAAGTCACTTCTGAGATAAAGCGCTTCAAAGTTTAGGATTTACATTGCGCCTTATGGGCGGCTGGGTTTTCAGACCGGAATAACTTTTGAACTAATTGACATATCTAAATGCGGTTTTCGCTGATCGATAGCCCTTGGTTTCCTCTATCCGACGAACTTCATAACTCGAAATTTTCAAAAAACATAGTTACGACGCTATACGGCGGCCTGCTGAACTCCGTGTTTGTACGGAGCCCCCGGGAACTGCGTGTTTATACGGAGCCGCCACGAACTCCGTGTGTATAGTTTTCAGGTGTCGAATGGTGTTTCTCAGATATTTGATGAACTCTGGTGGGGCAACTCGTCAAAATAAAATCCTGGGGGTAAAAGTTGTGTCCTTTGGAGCCGAAGGCCTATCTACGACTTTGCCTTTTTCCCGACTCGGGTGTCAGCGCCGCAGACCTAGGTAGATGTATGCCAGGCGCGTCGCAGCGTAACAGTGTTTCGTGAGATATCGCGAAGCCTGTTACGCGAGACGTGGTCTGGCGTACATCTACCTAGTTATTTATGCACTAGACATTACCACTATGTTTTCTCATTACCATTTATAAAACAGGAGATAACGGCCGTCAAAATGAGTCCAGTGTTCGTTCACTGTCATCTTCGGACACACTTCAAAATAGCACTAAAACTAAAACTGAATTATCTTGTCCATCTGCGTCTTCGCGTAGTCGCCATGTTTCTAATAAAGTATTCCGGTAAAGCTGAAATGCAGCAGAATACGGGGAAGAAGAAAACGGAAGTCACCATGTTAAAGCATAGCGATTTCCGTTTTCTTCTTCCCCGCATTCTTCTGCATTTCAGCTTTACCGGAATGCTTTATTCAATAACAACACTGACCTGCCTTTAACCCTTAAACCGCAGTAGGGGCAGTCACCTCTTTTCGACTGTCGACTGTCGGTATCTTCAACCCCCCCCCCTCTCTCAAACCTTCGGTCATCTCCTCGTCGTTTGCTGTCGTCTGCAGTCGAGCACTAGTGCACACACACCCCTCAAAAAGTGAGGTTAGGTGTTGAGAGGGAACAAATAGAGAGGACAGGCCATCGCTCGTGACGTGGAGCCGGGTAGCCGTCGCGTCAGGCGCCGGCCCATCCCAGGCATGCCGTAGTACACCCTCGCGATGGACAAGGTCGGTAAGACGGTACGTCCCCGACGAAGCAGTGCTCTCGCCCACCAGCTGATCTCTGGTATTTTAAGATACCCTGAAAATTTCAAGTCTCCAGCACATCTCCTAGTGGAACAGACAGACACACAGACAGGCACACAGGCAGACAGACAGGCACACTGACAGACAGACAGGCACACAGACAGACACTAGGTCGTTTGCATAAGCCCGCTGGATAGCTTTTACAAAGCAGAAGGGCGGGCTAAAAATCAACGTTTTAGTGATACTAGATAATCTAGGGATCCTTAACCCCAAAAGAGGGTGTGGTTCGACCAATAATGTGTGGTTTAAGTACAACTCCTTTTGCAATTCTGTGAAATGAAACCTTATTTTACGATTCAATGGACCATTTTGTCTTTTTCACGTTGTTTTCGCCGAGAAATGCCCCATAGCGCCAAAACGATACAAGATAGAGCAAAACGGACGAAATTTTCGTCTGGACGAAAGGCTGGCGGAGTGGGGCGAGGCTGGGTGGGGAGCCTGCGCCCGCCGAGTCGAGCATAGGCAGGCCCGCAACTCTCCTGCGTCTTTTATGTAACACCCGGTACCTCTGCAAAGCCTCTCCGAGGGGTACATGCGGGCAGGCCGACGACAGCTGCACCGAATGCAGGATATGCGGTAGTGGCGCCACCGTTCGCGTTCTCTGAGAATAGGGGTTTATTTTAGTCAAAATTTTAAACTTTTTTTTTTAACAAAAATGAGAAAGTTAAAGCTTTAACAAAAAGAAACTTACATTTTCAAATGCTTCAACTCAATTTTTCAGCTGAGAAAAGGGTGAAAAAGAAACCAACTGAAAATATTTTATTTTTATTTTAAACTTAACTTAAATTTACTACCTAATAGAGCCATAGTGCCAATAGTGACAATGTTTAAAATTAACTTAAATTTACTATCTACAAAACAATAAAACCAGAAAAGTAGGCAAAATAATAATAATAATAATGGGAAGCCATCGCTTGTTGAGACTTTTCAACCCTCTTCTTTTCTCAGTGGAGCAGGCAGCCGTCCTCCACATTCTGGAGCTCTTCCGTGAATACAATTTACCATATCAGAAAACGTCACGGTTAATTTAACTAACTTTTGATTTTCTGTGCTTTGTTGCAGGGCTGAAGCATGGAATGAAACCACGAAGGAGAAAAGAAGACACCAAGCATCCAGAGGAGGGTGATAGTAGTACCAATGATTGGTCTTCTAATGAAGGCTCAGATTATGACTATGAAGATAAAAATGACACTGATGAAAGTAACAGTGATTTTGAAACTGACAGTGATGGAAAAATCGAAAAGGATGGTAAAATTCCTGAAGATAACATTGATGAAAAAGAAGATTGTGGAAAACTGGGAAACATCCAGAATAAGAAGAAAATGTGTAAAAGCATTAGAAGCAAGAAGGAGTACAATTTCAAGGAAGCATTTTCACAGGAGAATGAAGGTGAAGAGCCTAGAATAGAAAAAAGTGAAGGTGCAGCAAAAATTCTGACGCAAAGATCCAACAACACGATAAAGGATGGAGTCACAGAGAGAAAGTTTGACAAGCTGAATGTCTGCCCATACTGTAGTTACGTGGGTACTGGAAAATTAATCTTGCATGTCGAAACCAAGCATAAGGAGAAAGCTCACGTGCGGGAACTAATGAAGGTCTACAGAAAACCAGTTTCTAAGAAGGTACAGGATGCGTGGACAGAAGAAGAGAAAGCGGCAGAGAAGAAGGAGAGAGTGAAAAAAAAGGTTTGAGACAATAAAAATAATCAGAAAAGCGGGTGCTGATAGACACAATTATGATCTTGTCGTGAGGAATATACGAAACGAGGATCCCTGAAAAAATGTTCTTATCACTGTGCGAAGAGACGCCTATGCAATAGATCAAACTGAGGTGCTGCGCTGCATGGAATGCAACGGTTACTATTCTAGCCATCAGCTGGCACAGCATGTTAAAGAAAAGCATGGAAAACCAGCTGGTCGAAATATCTAAGCCAGGGCTGCAGCCTACATGCCAGTGGCCACCAAAGTAGCTGAGGAATTCAAAACCAAAATTTTGGATACACTGCAAGTTGGACAGAAGCGATTAGCAATCAGAAGTGACGAACAAATTATACTTATAGGACAGAAAGCAATTGCAAGAAAGAACTGAAGGAAGAAACCCAGGAGAGTAAACCACATAAAAGGCGACATGAGGAAGCTTGGGAGGCTTCTCATAGAAATAAGGAAGATAAACCCAAAGTACAACACAATGGAAGACATGTTATCAGACCCCAATGATTTCCAAGATATTGTTGCGGCAACCAAGTCCCTGGGAGAATTCAATGAGTATGACAAGGAGTTCAAGAAGGGCAACTTGGCGAAGGACATTGGGCATCTTCTTAACAGGTGTATTCTAAATTTAGAGACCAAGTATTCAAGGGCTAAAGATCATGAGAGATTGCAGACACTGTCATTGGTGAGGAATGTCATGAAGAATGAGTGGACGGATAGCATTTCAAGTATAGCTCTTCAATCCATTCACACCAAGAGACAAATGAGGCCCGCAATATTCCCACTCGCTGATGACATTAAGAAGTGCATGAAAATGTTGAAAGAAAAGGAGTCTGAGGCGAAGAATATCTTGGAAGACGACCTGGAGAACCTTGCAGCTTTCAGTATGTTGGCGGAGAGCCTGTTAATTCAAATTACTATGTTTAATAGAAGAAGAACAGGTGACGTGGAAAATTTGGAGCTGAAGACTTACCTACATCCGCTTCCAGTGTCAGAACATGACGATGTCCTGAAATCCTTGTCTAAAGTGGAGAAGAAGATGTTAGATGAAGTCACATTGGTGAAAACTGCATTAAAAGGTGGGAGACTTGCCGCTGTCCTTCTTCCCAAACGATTAAAGGAAAGTCTTGATCTCCTGTGCCAGACAAAGGAACGTTTGAATCAATTCCAAGAGAGCATTTTCCTTCCCCATCTGTAACAAGTTTGATGCACTGTGATGCGAAAAGTTTATTCAGAAAGTACACTAAGGAAGCAGACCTGAGATTACCACAATTTGTCAGATCCAGAAATTTGAGGACTCATGTAGGCACTATGACACAGTTGTTGAATCTTGGACCTGATGGACTAAAAAAAGTATCCAAATTTATGGGGCACTCAGATGCAATCCACGATCTGTCTTCTGAACTTCCTGAAGACACTATGCTCCTTGCTAAATTCAGCAAACTTTTGTTCGCCTTTCAGAAAGGGGTAGCAGAGTTCAAGGGAAAATCCTTGGATGAAATAGAAATAGACGCGGATACACTGGCAGATGAAGAAAGTGACACTGATCCAGATATAATGGACTCCGAAAAGACAGAAAATGTACAAGAAAAAGCCTCTACATCAAATTCACAAGATGCAGATGATGAAGAGCCCCAAAGTGAGAGGAAAGTAAATAAACCAAAGTCAAGGAAAAGAAAAGCCCAAGAAATTATGACAGTTTCAGGAGAAAAGCATAGGAAGTATTCAAAAGGTAAAGACATCCAAGCGGTGCTTCTGACCTTTTAAATTTAAGTTCAAACTAGATGCACGGTGACGCACCGTCCGAGCAGCAAAGAGACCTCGGAGGTTGGGCAGCAACTACTTGAGCAGCTGCAATGAAGACGCGCTGCTCTCACTGCCTACCCCTCGGCCTGCCCTCCGCAACCTGCACCTCGACGTGCTAACGTCAGACTTCGACGCGCTGCCCGACCTGCCCTCCCCGACGACGCTTATGCTCGACTACTGCACCTGCGGACACAGTTCTCTACCCGGCCTACAGGACGAGCCCAAGCGCAGCGAGGAGCACAACAACAGGACGCAGCCGCGGCAGTGACTGGTCAGCAGCAGCACAACACCAGCAGCATCGGCGGCACCTGGAGGAGCTCAACAACTATACTCCATACAGGTAAACTTACATCTTTAGCATCAACTGCTGATCCCCGTGAGGGCCCAGCGACAGCGGCGTCCGAGGGGGGTGGTGGCCGCACCCAGTGCAACGGCGGTGGAGGCAGTTCACATGCTGGGGGCGCGGGGGCGACAGGCGACAGGCAAAGACTCGAGAAAGGGATGTATCTTCAATACGGGTATAAAGAAGATTTTTACCTTCATTATACAGGTTTATTTATATAATAAACGTGAAGTTCTATTTAGACATCTTCAATAAAGGTACAAAACATGTACAACATAACATGTAAAAAACAGGTACAAAACACAAAAAAAACATGCAGATAGAAAAAACAAAATTTACAATGTCCTGCTGACAAGTTAAACTATATCAGGAATGACATTTTTAAAATGCGTAATTTTTTTCTAAAAACTTAGGCAGGCGATCTTTCGTCAACTTTCCTTATTCTTTGATTTTTGCCGTACACCATTGTCCCATGATTGGGACTGCCTTTTCTTCCCACTTATGAAGATAAGAATCGTGGTCATCTTCAGTTAGCAATGGAATATTGAGCTCACTCTGGAAGTTTTCTAAATCTGGAGAGCCATTTGACTACGTCCACACGAATATTTTGCAGGTTTGCGGACAAGTTTTCTCTGCATCGGGTTACTTGCATAAAACCTTGGATTGCCCTTTTGTTTATGATTGTTTCCTTATGTGTAAAAAACAGAACAGATTAAGTAAAGCGTTTTATGCGAATCCGACATAATTTTTGCGATATAAACGCAGCATCTTAAGAAGAGAAATTGCTTCTTCTGAAATGTCTTACAAGTTGGGAGCATAACATCTGTTGACTACCTTTTTTGAGTGACTTAATCCCTTATTTACTCGATTTTGTGTTTCTTCCTCTTGTTCGTCGACATTAGTATGTACTACTTTGCATAGCTAATTGGGTATAAACTTCGGCAAGTTGTTCGTTGCCAGCCAGTTATTTAGCCGCAAAAACATACCAGTGTTGGGCTGTAAAAGAAAAAGAACTTGTAATAAAAACTTTAGAAAAAACAAGCAAAATTTACGAAATACTTTTTAGATTGTTAGCATTAAAACGTTAAGTGCTGCTGACTAAGATATAAGAAAATGCTCATCTTCAATAACAAGCAGGCCTGCCCTTTCGATAAACAAAATGGCCAGCTTCACTTTGCTCCGCTGGCAACTCCGTTCGGCAGGGACCAGGCCTACTTGTCCGTCAGACCTCAGACAGCCAGCTGATCAGCTGCATAAGCCGACTTCATTCCTCTTTTTGTGCAGAGGGCTGGGCCTAAAAGACACTTATTTTAATTAATAAAGTTTACTTCGACTCTCAATTTATTGAAACTCTTCCTCCTAATGACTTAAAAAATGGGGTCTCAGGTGAAACACCTGGAATATTGGATAAAATTTTGTCCCATTGTTTGCAGCTTGGTTAGACGGATGCTGGATAGGCAACCCAACCAGCACTCCTCTACTACCCCGACCCCTTGTGACTCGGCCGGGCCGAGCACTCCCTCGCCTCCCCGCCCGCGCCGCCTGTGTTGTTGTTTTCGGCGCTTCTCGTTTCAGCCCGGTGCTGCGAGCAGGACGAGACACGTTGTGCGGCGAGGCCGGTAAGGGCCTAGTAGACTGCCTCACGGTGACAAGAAAATCTCATTCGCGTGGAAGCATTTTGGAAACATCATGCTGCAGAGCGACGCCGGAAAAAAAGGTCTACGTTGACAAAATATTCTGTAAGCCATGTTTTGTTGCTGCTGTCGCCAAATCAACTGAAGACAATGAAGATGATATGAATTTAAATGACCTGGGGGAGCCGCAATAGTTGGCAAGGTTAGTGAATCTCGACGCGTCCTAACAACAACGTTCTATCTACAGCGCGTCATTTTCACAATATCCTATCTACAGCGCGTCATTTTCACAATGTCCTATCTACAGCGCGTCATTTTCACAATGTCCTATCTACAGCGCGTCATTTTCACAATGTCCTATCTACAAAGGGTCATTTTCACACTGTTCTATCTGCAAAAAGCGCGTTCCGAGATATGCAGAGATGAATGTTTAGAGCTCTGTATCAACTCGGCCAATGATCCTACATGGCTGGCAGTAGGCGGTATTGAATCTGTAGACCTTCTTAATTCCGCCAGTGTATTTATATTTGCGCTGAGGCAATCCGGTCCTTTGCAGTGGCGACGCCACTTAACCGTATACTCAGTTGACTAATGTACTTTCCCTGGTCAGCTGCGACAGCCAAACCTGACAATGGAAGGAATGAATGTACAATGTAAGTAATGGCTTAGTTAAGATTAAACAACGTTTTCTGATAAATAAGTTTGTTGTTTAATTCCTTTGTAGCGTTTTTCGGCTAACGGAGGAAGAAAAATAGCGGGTAGAACATAAAGGTTTGGTGGATCCTTTACCCTACGCCTACCGGTGTGCTCGGGAGGTCCCTGATGACGTCCCCGGGGGCCCGGACGACCTCGGCACTGCCAGATTCAGACTCGGCGTGTGCGAAAACCCCCGTACTTCAAATTTGAGATGAATCGGAGTTGTCATGGGGGTGT